TGGGTGTTAGGTAGGTTGAGATTTTTTATTTTTCCACTTTGNTGCACACACCGTCTACATAATCATTGTCAACCTTTATCAACCAACTAAAAGGAAAAGGAAAATTTAGAACAAAAAAATAGAATAAGTCCTTTGGAAATGTTCTAATAATTATCCAACCTGGGTTGGGTGTTAGGTAGGGTGAGATTTTTTATTTTTCCACTTTTTTTTTTCTTCCAATGGCATAAAGATTAAGGATAGATGTGTCTTTTAATATAACTAAAGGTCAAGTGGCCAACTTCTGTTAATTGTTAATGGTTAGATTAACGGAAATGAAATCATTGATCTAATGTTCAAACTTGGAATCAGAATGAGTTTATTACAACAGGCGCCAAACTTTAAAGGGTATTTTGTCATTAACCCTATTTTATTTATCATTTGTAGGTCACATATCATTAATTTAAGTATGACTCACTTATATATAATGAGTCTCTTGCTACTACATGATTAGTTATTTATAAGAAACAAATTAGACAGAAAACTACTAGAATGGATATAAAAATAGTAGAAATAGTGAGTCCATTCGCTTTTTATGTTGATCCGTATCATTTATCGGGTTAAAAATTATCAGTCCTACCCAATGACTTTACAATTGGGTCAAGGCCTGGTTTCATGATATGTACTGCATCTCACATCATAAGATTCGTAACCCACACCTGATATTGCAGTCTTTTTATTCTTCAAAGGCCTTATAAGTCCAAACTATGCTATGTATGCTCAAGAGTCCGTGCTTCGTGCCGTTCTTACTCGTGTTCTAATACTCTTTCCACTTGTCGCCGCTTCACTACAGTTCGTATATTTTCTGTGGCGCTTTGGTCTGAATTTTGAGGCAGTAGGGTTTTAAACTTTAAAGGTCTTAAAAGCACCGAACGCAAGTGTCTCCTAGGGTTTTAGAGAAAACTCCACTTCTGTCGAAACAATGGCGTTTTGGGGTTCGTCTTGATAACTACCTTTCGTTTTCATTAATTTTTTTCTTCGATTTTTCTTGGCAATCAACCTCACCTTTACATTTTCTTATCAACGTAAATATTTAAGTGTCTTTGTGATTTTATCTCAGGAATTGAAATTAAACCTGGGAAACCGTATGCTCATCGACACGATGACGAGGGAGGAAGGCTTCACGTGTCTCAGGTTTTTTTTTTTTTGAACACAGCTCAATACATTTCTCTTTTCGATTTGGATTTGGATTTTTCTGAAGTCGTTGTGTTAATTGAGGTTATACAGATTATTGGATACGATNTAAAGGTCAAGTGGCCAACTTCTGTTAATTGTTAATGGTTAGATTAACGGAAATGAAGTCATTGATCTAATGTTCAAACTTGGAATCAGAATGAGTTTATTACAACAGGCGCCAAACTTTAAAGNTAAAGGTCAAGTGGCCAACTTCTGTTAATTGTTAATGGTTAGATTAACGGAAATGAAATCATTGATCTAATGTTCAAACTTGGAATCAGAATGAGTTTATTACAACAGGCGCCAAACTTTAAAGGGTATTTTGTCATTAACCCTATTTTATTTATCATTTGTAGGTCACATATCATTAATTTAAGTATGACTCACTTATATATAATGAGTCTCTTGCTACTACATGATTAGTTATTTATAAGAAACAAATTAGACAGAAAACTACTAGAATGGATATAAAAATAGTAGAAATAGTGAGTCCATTCGCTTTTTATGTTGATCCGTATCATTTATCGGGTTAAAAATTATCAGTCCTACCCAATGACTTTACAATTGGGTCAAGGCCTGGTTTCATGATATGTACTGCATCTCACATCATAAGATTCGTAACCCACACCTGATATTGCAGTCTTTTTATTCTTCAAAGGCCTTATAAGTCCAAACTATGCTATGTATGCTCAAGAGTCCGTGCTTCGTGCCGTTCTTACTCGTGTTCTAATACTCTTTCCACTTGTCGCCGCTTCACTACAGTTCGTATATTTTCTGTGGCGCTTTGGTCTGAATTTTGAGGCAGTAGGGTTTTAAACTTTAAAGGTCTTAAAAGCACCGAACGCAAGTGTCTCCTAGGGTTTTAGAGAAAACTCCACTTCTGTCGAAACAATGGCGTTTTGGGGTTCGTCTTGATAACTACCTTTCGTTTTCATTAATTTTTTTCTTCGATTTTTCTTGGCAATCAACCTCACCTTTACATTTTCTTATCAACGTAAATATTTAAGTGTCTTTGTGATTTTATCTCAGGAATTGAAATTAAACCTGGGAAACCGTATGCTCATCGACACGATGACGAGGGAGGAAGGCTTCACGTGTCTCAGGTTTTTTTTTTTTTTGAACACAGCTCAATACATTTCTCTTTTCGATTTGGATTTGGATTTTTCTGAAGTCGTTGTGTTAATTGAGGTTATACAGATTATTGGATACGATCTTTTGGGTTTGGGTTTGGAATTTATACTTCGTGGATACTAAATATTTCGAGGTTTAAGGAATTGGATTTTGGTCTTTTATCTACTTTCGAATTAAATAAGGTTCACTGTTGAGTTAGATTGGAGTTTTAGGGAGTTTGATATTAATTGTTCAATAGCATGGAAATCTTTATAGACATTGGGCGTTGAATATAAATTTTAGAGCTATTTGAAATTTATTATTACCATCTGTCGGATTATTTGTAATTTTAGGATTGGTATTTTGGTTCCTTGGATGATAAAATACATTCCGTGATTATTTTATGCAAAGGAAGCATTTCTTATCAAATTCTTCAGATGTTTGATGTCGGTTGGTGTTTATGGCTATTAATTTGTTTGAAAGTCTGTGATTATCATTTATGCACCGTTTGGTTGGTAGGATGAAAATTAGGAATAAAAAGGTAAACCTCAAGCTTAACCTGCTATGAGGATATCTTGATATTTATAGAAAAATTTTGCAGCAATCTTATCATAAAAACAAAACAACTATTTGAAATTCAAAAAGCAACTATACAAGTAAAAAATCCTCTTGATTGTCTCCAGATTCTCCTCTAATACCCCCCCTCCAAGTTGGTGTGGTGGAATGTGGAAACATGCACAACTTGGCACGATCCAAGGAGATACTGTAATTTAGCAACCCCTTTAGTGAAGACATCTGCGAATTGTAGTTGAGAGGGAACGAACGCCAAAGTGAGAACCCGTTGAGCAACAAGCTCTCTAACAAAATGGTAGTCAATTTCGATGTGCTTAGAGCGAGATTTGGTGACAGGATTTGTTGCTATAAATATAGCACTGTTATTATCACATAGCAGTTTTGGAGGAGAGGAGAGTTGGATATGTAGTTCACGGAATAGCTGAAGTGTCCAGGAGAGTTCGGCAGCTACAAATGCAAGAGCCCTGTATTCTGCCTCAGTGCTGGAACGTGCCACGGTAGTTTGCTTCTTAGAACACCACGAAATTAAATTTCAACCAAAATAAACAGCAAAACCTGTAGTAGACCGTCAAGTATTAGGGCAACCCGCCCAATCGGCATCAGAGTAACCAGTAAGAGTTGAGCAAGGATCCTGTGACAGCTGAAGACCATAGTGATAGGTGCCTTTAACATATCATAAAATACGCTTCAAGGCACGAAAGTGATCAATAGTAGGAGCATGCATATATTGACAGATGGAATTAACACTGTAAGACTAATCAGGACGTGTGAGAGTCAAATATTGCAAGGCTCCAGCCAATGAGCGAAATTGTGTTGCATCTGAATATGCTATACCAGTGCCGGAAAGATGAGAACCGACCACAAAGGGTGTGGAAATTGGTTTGCAATCCACCATTTCAGCGCGAGTCAAAAGATCTAGAACATATTTTGCTTGACTCAGAAAAAACCTTTATCATTGCGAATAACCTCAACACCAAGAAAATAGTGGAGATCACCCAAATCTTTGATAGAAAATTCAGTGGCAAGAAGATCAATAAGAGTACGAAGCATGGTTGGATTGTTGCCAGTAATAACCATATCATCAACGTACAAAAGGAGATAAATAACACCATGTTGACCGTGATAGATAAAGAGAGACGAATCTTCACGGCTTGTAAGAAATCCAAGACTAAGCAAAAAATTACTAAAACGTTGAAACCAAGTCCTTGGAGCCTGTTTAAGGCCATAAAGGGCACGCTGTAAACGACAAACGTGATTTGGGANTACAAAAGGAGATAAATAACACCATGTTGACCGTGATAGATAAAGAGAGACGAATCTACACGGCTCGTAAGAAATCCAAGACTAAGCAAAAAATTACTAAAACGCTGAAACCAAGTCCTTGGAGCCTGTTTAAGGCCATAAAGGGCACGCTGTAAACGACAAACGTGATTTGGGTATTGAGGATCAATATAACCTGGGGGTTGTTCCATATAGACTTCCTCGGAAAGAAAGCTATGTAGAAACATATTTTTTACGTCAAGTTGATGAAGACACCAACCATGCATGGCAGCAAGAGACAAGATAATCCNGTATTGAGGATCAATATAACCTGGGGGTTGTTCCATATAGACTTCCTCGGAAAGAAAGCCATGTAGAAACATATTTTTTACGTCAAGTTGATGAAGACACCAACCATGCATGGCAGCAAGAGACAAGATAATCCGAATAGTAGCAGGGCGAACAACTGGACTAAAAGTGTCTTCAAAATCGATGCCATGCTTCTGAGAAAAACCTTGTGCAACTAGGCGAGTTTTGTGATGCTCGATAGTTCCATTGGATCAAAGTTTTGTTTTGAATATCCACCAACAACCGACAATATTATGAGCAGAAGGACGAGGTACCAGGCGCCAAGTGCTATTTTGCTTAAGTGCAGTAATTTCATCATCCATGGCAGAGAGCCATTCGGGATGTTTGACAGCTGATTTAAATCCGCGCGGCTCTTTAATGGCAAGATGTACCTGAAACCATTGAAGAGCTGACAAAGCAATTAATGAATGAATAGTGCGAGGCTTAATAATACCGTCCTTTGCATGAGTAATCATTGGGTGTGTAGAGGAAGGCGGTTAAGAGGTTGAAGGAGGTGGCGGAGGTATGACTTTTGATGCCATCGCAGGGGAGGATAGCTGAGAAGAAGCAGCAGGCGTGGAAGACGTTGTTGCAGTTGAAGGCAGCACAAGTGGCAGCAAAGTGCTGCTGTTGTCTGCACAAGGAGCACAAAAGATAGGAGCCTTGTGATGGGTGGAAGTCACACCTGAAGATGAGTCATTTTCATACGACAAAGAATTTTCAAGAGGATCAATAAAAGTAACGTACTCTTTAGAAGCCAAAGTTGGTAAACTTGAACTACCGTAAGGAAAATAATCCTCAAAAAATTGCACATGATGAGAGACATATACTCTGTTAGTGTTTTTATCCAAACACCGAAAACCTTTATGAAGAGGACTATAGCCTAAGAAAATACAAGGAGTAGAATGAGGAGACAATTTATGAGGCATATAGTCACGCAAAAAAGGAAAGCAAAGACAACCAAAAGTGCGAAGTGACAAGTAAGAAGGAGCTTTACCATATAAGATCTCATAAGGAGTTTTCCCTTCAAGAACCGGTGATGGAAGACGATTGATGAGATAACAAGCCGTTGAGAAGGACTCAACCCAAAGATGTAATGGAATACTAGAATAAAACATGAGGGGTGAGACCAGTTTCAGTGATATGACGATGTTTTCTCTCAGCAATACCATTTTGACTAGGAGTGTAAGGACAAGCAATACGTTGAACTATACCACACTCATGAAGAAAAGAGGTGAAACGATTATTGGTAAATTCGGTGCCACCATCACATTGAAAGGATTTAATGTTTCTATCAAATTGTGTGTTGACATAGTTATAAAAACGGACAAAAATATCGAAGAAATCTGACTTAAGCTTTAAAGGAAAAATCCAACTAAAGCGAGAAAAGTCATCAATGAATACACAATAATGTCTATATCCGGATGGAGAAGTGATTGGTGAAGGACCCCATAAATCGCAATGGATTCTGTCAAATAATGAGGAGCAACGTTGATCTAAATTGGAGACAGGTAAATGATGATTTTTTACCAATTGGCAACCAAAACACGGTGCAGAATCAAACTTGTTTTTATTAGAAATATCTCCATGCTTATTTAAAAAATAAACAATGCGATTAGAAGGATGTCCCAATCGAGCATGCCAAATATCAGATGTAGCACGAGAAGTACATAAAGAAAAAGTAGAGAAAAAATTTGCATGGGCGCGGTCAAGAATGTAGAGTCCTTTCTCACATCGGCCGACTCCCACCACCGTTCTTATTGCTAGATCCTGTATAGTAAAGCCAGTAGAAGAAAAGGTTACTGAGCAGTTGTTCTCATGAGTAAGCTTACTGATAGACAACAGATTTTTAGTAATGCCAGGAACAAGGAGAACATCAGATAATGATAAAGATTTAGAAGCAATAATGGATGAGATGGAGCCAATTCTAGAGATAGGCAATGAGTTACCGTTACCAACAAACACCCGTTGATTACCATTGTAAGAAATAGAATTATCAAGAGACGCAGCATCATTTGTCATATGTGAAGTGGCTCCTGTATCTGTGTACCATTCGAAATCAGTGGGATTATCAAGAGAGGTGGCAGAGAAAGCTTCAATTAAGCCACCAGCCTTGGCCTTTTTTAATAATTTGCCAAGTTTATAACACTTTTTTGGCAGTGTGATTTTCTTTACCACACCACTGGCAAGCAACAATAGACCCTTTAGTGAAACTTGGTGGAGAATTGTCCTGTTTGGTGCGACCAATGGAATTGGCAAAAGGACAACGTTGTGCAATGAAAACCGACTGCCGAGAGGAATCACCAGGAATGGATCGAGAGAAAAGCTCATGACTCAGAGCTTTGGGAACCAAATTGGCGAAGGAAGGCAGTGGCATCTGAGACAACATAGATGTCGAAAAAATTTTGAAATCTAATCCAAGGCCACGAAGAAACCAATGTACCTTACCAGTGTCATCAATCGGTTTGCCAATAGCACTAAGTTGATCACAAAGAGATCGAAAAGAATGAGCATATTCAGCCACACTATGAGAGCCACGCTGAATTAACTGAAGTTCGTCTTTCAATTGAATTTCTCTTGTCTTGGAGCTGTGAGAAANTAATAATTTGCCAAGTTTATAACACTTTTTGGCAGTGTGATTTTCTTTACCACACCTCTGGCAAGCAACAATAGACCCTTTAGTGAAACCTGGTGGAGAATTGTCTTGCTTGGTGTGACCAGTGGAATTGGCAAAAGGACAACGTTGTGCAATGAAAACCAACTGTTGAGAGGAATCACCAGGAATGGATCGAGAGAAAAGCTCATGACTCAGAGCTTTGGGAACCAAATTGGTGAAGGAAGGCAGTGGCATCTGAGACAACATAGATGTCGAAAAAATTTTGAAATCTAATCCAAGTCCAAGAAGAAACCAATGTACCTTATCAATGTCATCAACCGGTTTGCCAATAGCACTAAGTTGATCACAAAGAGATTGAAAAGAACGAGCATATTCAGCCACAGTATGAGAGCCACACTGCATTAATTGAAGTTCGTCTTTCAATTGAATTTCTCTTGTCTTGGAGCTGTGAGAAAATGATGCTTCGAGAGTCAACCAAGCATCACGAGCAGTTGAGGAATTAACAACCTCGACCACACATTCCTCTGTAAAAGAAGCGTAAATGAGGCTGAGCAACATCCTGTCTTGCATATACCATATCTTGTAAGCTGGATTAGGAAATTGATTGGAACCCTCTTGGAGCAGGGACGTGGGTGCAGGGAAAGATCCGTCCAGGAAGCCCATGAGATCTTGACTTTCAAGCAAGGGAACGAATTGGCTACACCACAGGAGGTAATTGGTAGAAGTGAATTTGATGGTTACCATGTGAACCATCGTATTGAGCGGAAGCTGATTGAAGCTTGAATCGGCCATGGAAAAAAATATATATATTTTAAGGTTTTAACCGAAAATGGCTTTGATACCATGAAAAGGTAAACCTCAAGCTTAACCTGCTGTGAGGATATCTTGATATTTATAGAAATATTTACAGAGCAATCTTATCATAAAAACAGAACAACTATTTGAAATTCAAAAAGCAGCTATACAAGTAAAGAATCCTCTTAATTGTCTCCAGATTCTCCTCTAATAAGGAAGTATTGAAAGTAGGAGGGATACACTTTCTATCCTTTAAGGATGGAAAGTATGAATGATACATTTTTTTTTTTTTTTTGTNAAGTAAAGAATCCTCTTAATTGTCTCCAGATTCTCCTCTAATAAGGAAGTATTGAAAGTAGGAGGGATACACTTTCTATCCTTTAAGGATGGAAAGTATGAATGATACATTTTTTTTTTTTTTTTGTGTTTGGATGAACGGATGAAAAATAAAAATGACTAATTTTTTTTGTGTTGGTTAAGATTAGAAGTGACAATCGAGTCGTGTCGTGTCAAATTTGTCTTGAGTCATAAAATTATGAGTTTTTTATAATCAAGTTCGTGTCATAAAATTCGTGTCGAGTTCGAGTTATTTCATCGTGTTGAGTTGAAAATTTTCACCCCTAGTTAAGATGAAAAAATATTTTTTTTCATTTAAAATTTTTATTTTTTTATTTTTTATTTTATTTTATATATATATATATATTTTATTATTGTATTTTTATATGAAATTAATGTATACATAAAATATAGACAAATAAGATACATCTTAATACAAATAATTAACTTTTCATCCACTTTCCTTCCGATTTTGGAGTGATTGATTTTAGTGAGTTGGAAGGAAAGTTAATCCATCCNTCATTTTTTATTTTAGTTTTTATATATATATATATATTATTGTATTTTTATATGAAATTAATGTATACATAAAATATAGACAAATAAGATACATCTTAATACAAATAATTAACTTTTCATCCACTTTCCTTCCGATTTTGGAGTGATTGATTTTAGTGAGTTGGAAGGAAAGTTAATCCATCCACTTTTCCATCCTTATTNATTTTCCTTCCGATTTTGGAGGGATTGATTTTAGTGAGTTGGAAGGAAAGTTAATCCATCCACTTTTCCATCCTTATTTATCCCTCCAACTTTCCTTCCTTCCAACTTTCCATCATTCCATTTTTCTATCATACCAAACGGAGCATTAAGGTGTTAGTGATTGGGTTTCCAATTAAGGAAATGTTAGATATGCCTCTGTTGTTTTTCTAGATTATTTGAGGTTCTTGAAATGTGTTATGGTTGGCTTTTGTTGATAATGCGAATTGGTGAGATGATTTCTCCATTATTGTTCTCTGTGCATTTTGAATGCTGTAATTTATGGCTGGTTGTATTTAAAGCTGTTGGTTTCCGAACTCTCTCCCCTCTGCCTTTTATTTTGGAGATTAGATTCCATGCTTGGGAAATGGGGTCATGAATAGTTGGCTTACGGGATTTGGATGTAGCCATCCACAGGTTCTGACACTGGGTTTGGTTTACCATTGCTTGAGATTGTGTATTATGTGTTTTTTCAGGCAACATTAGGAACTGGTTCATCGACAAAGAAGAGCATAGTTCAATGTAATGTAGGAGACAAGAGACCAATTTACTTGTGTTCCTTGTTACCGGAAAAGCTTGAGACTTGCCCATTGAATCTTGAATTTGAGGAGGAGGATGAAGTAACATTCTCAGTTATTGGCCCTCACAGTATTCATCTCTCTGGTTTCTTTCATGGTGAAAGTCAGGATAACTTTGGAGATGACTATGGACCGTATCCTTTTTCTTTTACTCTTCAATTACCCTTTAGTAGTTTCTGTGATTTAATTTTGGGATCATATGGAAAACCTTTTTAGAAGTACTTGAAATAAGTTAAATATATCTCTTTTTATATATATATATATATATATATATATTTTTTTTTTTTTGCTTAAAATCAAACGTTAAAAAAAAGTTAATGTGCTTAATGCTAATCTTTAATGTTAATATATGCTTGTCTTGATGCTTTAGTTTTTGTTTTTACCCCTGCGTCTGGGTAAAATAGTAATACGTTTAATGTTCATGTGGCTATGCTTTGTGGAAGAAAGCTAACCCAGACTTTTTGCCTATAGAAATTAAAATATTTTTTTTGCTGGTACTTTTTTGACACAAATAAAGCACTACTTGTGTTTTCGTTTTTTGCTCAAAATATAAACAATAAACAAAAAGAAAGATTTTTTTTTTTCAAAAAAATACGGTAGACTAGTCTTTTATTTTTCGTATGAACACATGGTGCTATTAAGTTGAAGCGTTTGACATCTCTTTTATGCGATGTTTTAATTTCCTTCACTTGAAATTAAGTGATTCTTATGAGGAGGATATTGTTGAGATTGGGAGTGAGTCTGATGAATCTACTGACTATGATACTGAAGATGAATCCAAGGATGACTTCATTGATGATGATCTTGAAATGTACCCACCTTCCCCTGTACCCAACAGTGGAGGTATAGCTCTTCAGATTTTCTTATGTTTTCTCTCGATTTGAACCTACATTGCAATTTCTACTGCTTAAAATATGGATATGCAATAGTTTTATTTGTGTTTTTGAATAACTTCCTTGACTAAGTTACAAATAGTGGGATAGATCTTGATTCTTATGAGGATAAATCAATGAGTTGATTTTTGGCAAATGCTTGTTCAGGATTCAACTGAATTTCCGGCTACAAATGAGAAAATTAAGAAATTGGGAAATTTGGCCTTTTCAATAATAAATTAAATCGTAGTTAATAGAAAGCTGCAAAAACTGTGAAAGATTTGTGCTGGAGGGGTATTGTAGAAGACTTGAGCCTATTACCACCAGTTATGGAAATTGTTTCTAGCTGAAAGTTTCGTGATTTATATTCTATTTTTGGCATATTATTGTACAATTTATGAGTACTTTAAAGCTTAGGCTGCCAACACTTTGCTGCATGAGTTCGATATGTGACTCAAACTGGCAATTAATTTGTGTGATTTTTGGTTGATGTAAATTTTGTTGGTTTTGAATTAGTAAAAATTGAGGAGATATTTGATGATGAGAAACCTACCAATGAGAATGGTAAGCGATCAAAGAAGAGGAACAATCGGTTGAGTGGGTCTGAGGACAATAATGACTCTCAACGGCAAATTGTTGTCAAGTGTGGTACTGCTGTCCCAGTCTTGGAGAGTGAAGATGAAGATGGTTTTCCAATTTCGTCCCCTCGTATGAGCACAGACACTGCTTTGAATGCCAAAGCAAATGCAGAAGAAATTGAAAATAAGAGAACAGGTGAGGAAGTCGTGAAAAAGAAGGAAAAAGATGCTCCTCATCGTACTAAAAACTTAAAAAGAAAGATTGATGCTGTTGGCCAGGATGATGAAAAAGCAAGGTGAGGAAATTTGCCAGGCTGCATTAATGAATAATTGAAGAATTGCTATTGTTTGTGCCAAGGTTTTAACATTAAGTTGTTTTGCTTTGCTTGCTACCTCTGGTTTATATGGAACTCGACTGCCTTTAGTTGATTAGGTTAGCTCTGAGAATTGATAGCGTGAAGACTGTGCTTGTGTTAATTCTGTTCTCTTATTTCAACTGATGCAAACAGAAAAAATGGCCAACCATTTAATTCTTCAGTTCCAACTGCTGAAATGGTTCCTGAAAACGATGTCAAGCAAAAGAAAAAAAATAAGAAGAAGAAAGCAAAGGCTGAAGAGGGAAAAGTTCAGCCTGAGGATGCGATTACCAGGGACATGGACCAGGCTCCGCCAGTTGAAAAGGAGTACAACCAGAAGCTAACTCATACAAAGTGAGTAACCGCCATCCCCTTTGTCAGGCTCTTGAAGCTAATGAATTATGGACATTTTAATTGTTGAGCATTGGATACAGGAATCTACTCAACAAAATGTTGCGTGATGATTTTTCCAGTGAGCTAGTATTAAACTATTAATTCTGTCTCACTCTAATTGATTTGATTTGCTATGTGCATGCGGGAGCAAGAGCATAAAAGCATCCAATTTGAAAATACCAGGGTTCCAGAGTGTCATTTTCTAGAATGTTTTATCTTGTCTTTTCTGAATTTATGGCCTGGAAAGCAATTGTATCATTATTTTTATTGGTAAGAGTTGAGGAGTTTATTACCATTCACAAGACATAAAGTTATCTGGTGGCACAGCAGCAAAAGATTGCAAATTAAGTTACTAAAGCCCCACTTGGATGACATTTCAATTCCTTGGGCCTCTGTGCAATTATAAGATCTCTCTTACATGACAGTTCCCCACCCATATCATGAGTTACTCATTTTTGACAAAAAAAATCCTTGCAGCTTCTCTCTCTCTCTCTATCTCTCTCTCTCTCTCTCTCACACACACACACACACGCAGATCCAAACGCATGCATGCACTGGCAAGCACACAGACATGCAGGGGTACCCCTGCGGGCCACACACACGTCTTAATTGATGTAAGCAACGTGTTTGGAGACAAATTTTAGCATTTTTGCTGCCTTGTGGGCCCACAGAGGGCACCGTTTCAAGAATGTAAGGGTGTTTGGAACTTCATATTCTGCTATCTTCACTATTTACTTGAAGNCTCTCTATCTCTCTCTCTCTCTCTCACACACACACACACACATGCAGATCCAAACGCATGCATGCACTGGCAAGCACACAGACATGCAGGGGTACCCCTGCGGGCGACACACACGTCTTAATTGATGTAAGCAACGTGTTTGGAGACAAATTTTAGCATTTTNTATCTCTCTCTCTCTCTCTCTCACACACACACACACACGCAGATCCAAACGCATGCATGCACTGGCAAGCACACAGACATGCAGGGGTACCCCTGCGGGCCACACACACGTCTTAATTGATGTAAGCAACGTGTTTGGAGACAAATTTTAGCATTTTTGCTGCCTTGTGGGCCCACAGAGGGCACCGTTTCAAGAATGTAAGGGTGTTTGGAACTTCATATTCTGCTATCTTCACTATTTACTTGAAGAAACTGTTATGTGCACATATAGATTCTCCTCCTCCCCCCTGCATACACACGAGGTGTTTCATCTCAGTACTTCTATATTTTTCATTTCTGTTGTTGGACAGAAGTTTTATGCTCAGGATTGGTTCAGATGTTATGATGATGTTCATGTCATTTACTTCGAGCTTTTTGGGCATATTTGCAGCAGCGGTGATATTGATGCAGATTTTGTTGCCGACAAAATTCACTCCAAGGAGAAAGAAAAAAAGAAGAAAAGGAAAAAGAACAAGAANTTGAGCTTTTTGGGCATATTTGCAGCAGCGGTGATATTGATGCAGATTTTGTTGCTGACAAAATTCACTCCAAGGAGAAAGAAAAAAAGAAGAAAAGGAAAAAGAACAAGAAGCAGGAGAGTTCAGCGGATGCAAATGCAGAGCAAACTGTTACTGATAAGAATGGGTCCTCAGCGGAGGTTGAGGAGAAGGCTGAAGTCAAGCCATTTCAAGTGAGATCCTTCCCAAATGGCTTGGTCATTGAGGAGTTGGAAATGGGTAAACCAGATGGGAAAAAAGCTTCTCCTGGGAAAAAGGTGAATCTGTTTGTTAAATTGTTTTACCAAGTCAGTTATATATTGGAAAAATGGAAATAAAAATAAAAATTCATTTGGGAATTTCTGCCAGGCTGATAAAATTGATAATGCAAGGCCTTATATAACCTTGACAACTATGGAAAAGAAAAAATAAAATGTTGAGCTAGCAGCTCACCTAAAAGGTGAAAAAACTAAAAGTAAGACGACCAGATTATATCAGATCAATTTCAAGTGCTGTATTTGTCAAACGTACAATCCCCAAGGTGTTACCTGATCTTATTTCAGTATGATCCCTTTTGAGCTACCATGGCATCTACTGCCTTACTGCCAATGTGTGAAAAGATTTTAGCAACTTGATGCTTTTGAAAGTGAGTTGACATTTTTGAAATATACTTGCTACCACCCCCACAAGGTGGATTTCATTTGACAATAACACTGGAAAAAATAAAGGATTGTGGATTATTTTTACACCAAGAACCCAAAACGGGATATATATACCTTGCTTGAAATAGATGCATGCAGTGTTTCTGTTTGATTACCTACTTCAAAGTGAATATGTTTTGCTTCTTCAAATAAGCGAAACTTTTGGCTTTTTTTTTACAGGTCAGTGTCCATTACATTGGCAAGCTGAAGAAGAATGGAAAAATATTTGATTCTAATATTGGCAGAGCACCTTTTAAATTCCGCCTAGGTATTGTTATACGAAGCAAAAACATAGCAGGAACCTGCTTAGTTCTTAAATGTATAACTGTTTTTTATTCTTGTTACAGGCGTAGGACAAGTTATAAAGGGATGGGACGTTGGTGTTAATGGTAATTCTCTTGCCAAGTAACCCTTTTGCTTTATTTTAATTACTGTTTTGATTTATTAGAAAGGAAAAACATTCATGTTCATTGTCTACCCAATGATCAGGTATGCGAGTTGGGGACAAAAGAAGACTCACAATCCCACCAGCCATGGGGTATATTTTCCATGACATGCTTATATGTTATTGTCTGTTGGATGTGTCAAGATTTTGAACCATCTTATAGCATTTGTGTCATTCTTTTGGACCCCCCTAATATTTCAGTTTTTTCAATGCAGTTATGGGGCTCGGGGTGCTGGTGGCGACATACCGCCCAACTCTTGGCTGATTTTTGATGTTGAATTGGTTGATGTAAGTTGATTGCCTTGGCCTAACATGCAAGGTGTGCCCTTTTTTCTTCCCATTATACCAATTTGGGTTAGTTTGGAGTGTGTTGAAGATAGGTCTTGAGGCTCTATGATTTTAAGTTTACTTGATGCAATACATTGAACTTTGTGTCGCAATTTTGTAATAGATGGTGAATGAGTGGTGAATTTGAGTGAAGTTCTTGCACCAAGGCTGGTGTAGTCGGCTATGAAAACAGCACAACCTGTTATGTATGCAAGAACCATCAACTGGTGGTTGCAAATGCACTATATAGTGTATGATCATGAAAATTAATTTGATGTATTCAGGTTTCTTCTCCAAAAGTGTTCAAAAAGAATGAGCTGGGCATTAAAGCAGTAGTAGCCACTTTAGTTGGAGTTTGTGAATTGCTTTGAAATCATGAGATCTGATTGGTCGGTGCCGTATCTACCAAATTATATGTGACGATTGAATTGTCTGGGTTCACAAGCTTGAACTGGGTCTGTTCAGTTGGCCTTTGATGGCTAGCCATGAACACCCCAAGCTGCACACTGAGACATTTTCACAGCTTTTAATGCTTTCAGTTAATGAATCGATGTGATTGACATGAAATACTATAAAACAAGAGGTTGAGAAAATGAGCTTCAATGCTTTCAGTTTCATAACGAGGCATTTCAAGTTTTCTCGATTGCTTTATCTACGCAGTAAAGCACCAAAAAAGTGAGAAATTAAATAGAAAAGATATGTTTGAATAGTAACTTGTAAATGATTTATGGGATCTGCCTCTAGTGATGATAAGTAATCATTTGTTGAATAAATGGATTTTTGAACGAGCCATGACTCAACCTCTTCAAAATAGGTAATGCACATATCCGTTGGGCATTATGCAGTCATCTGAACTAAAGGTAATAAAAGGGGTGTATTTTTATTAATTTTTTTTTTTTTGTTAAACACTAATACAGGCAGACGATCTTAAGGTCCAACTAGTTCACCACAGATGATGAACCATTAATTAGTGGAAGATGAACCTACGAAATCCACGGTTGTGATTGATTTTCTTTGGCATAACAAATGCTTGTTAAAAAAGGAGATAAAGTTTTGCGAATTTAATTTTTTTTTTTTTTTTGACAAAAATGATATAATGTACTAATTAGAAACATCTGAATAAAGAATTGGTACCAAAGACTCTGGTGTCATATCCTCCCATACATGAAAATGTTCATAACATCTAGCTATTCCAGCAAGATGGTGTGCAACACCATTCCCAGTACGTCTAATAGTAGAAGCAGAGAAAAAATTAAAAGTATGTATGATACACCTAATATCCAATGTTATCAAAACTGGACCGGACCGGCCGGTTCGACCATGAACCCAGACCTCAACCGGTCCGATTTTTAAATTAAATCGCTTAAGGAGCTAAATCGGAATAAAACTATCAAATCGGCCGATTTTTGCCAAAAATCGTGAACCGGACGATTTAGTTAAACCGGACGGTTCTCCTGCCTTTTTCATAAAAACCCCCAAATCCAGTCATCTCCATCCTCTTCTCCACTCAAGCGTTGGTGGACCAGGTTTGATCGAGCAATTCCTTCGTCTTCTCCACAGATCAAGTTTCACTCCATCGTTTTCTCCACTCAGGTCTGATCGAGCAACTCCTTCTCCACTCAATCCCTCTTTGCTCAAGCTTTATATGTCTCCACTCGATCTCTCTTTGCTCAAGCTTCACAGATCTCCACTCGATCTCTCTTTGCTCAAGCCCACTCGATGCCTTTTTGCTCAAGCTTCAGGGGTCACAGCCTATTGCTCAAGCCTCAAGCTTCACAGGTCACAGTCTATTGCTCAAGCTTCACAGGTCCTGTATCATAATAGGTTGTTCAACAACTGTTGTTGTTACTTGGTTAACTTAACTGATGTTAAGTTACTTGGTTAAATTAATTGATGTTTTTTTTTTTTAGTATTCTTGGCAACTGATGTTAAAAACAAAATTTTTTTAACAATATTTTTCATTTTTAATACAAGTATTTTTTTTATACTTAATTAATTTATGATAAATTATATGTATTAGGTACATGTTTTATATTTTTTAGCTAAATTATTATATTTTACATTTTTATTATTTTTTTATTTGTCGACCGGTCCAACCAGTTGACCCAGTGGTTGAACCATTAAATCATTGACCCGGTCCCTCTGCCGATTCGATGCCCAGTCCGATTTTGATAACTATGCTAATATTTGCTATAACAGATCCCAGAGGAGAAAAATCCTCTTGAGAATCAACTATCATCTTCATCACGGAGGATGAATCCCCTTCCAACGTGATCTCACAATCCATCTGCCTAGCAAATAACAAAGCCTCCCTTGCAGCAATACTCTCTGTTGTTTGCGCATCATATACCACACTTATCTTCTTCGACATCCCCGCAATAAATAACCCAGAATCATTCCTCATAACAACACCCACTCCCACTGACCCTTCAGAATTAAATACTACCCCATCAAAATTTACCTTAAAAGTACCTGAGCTTGGGGGAGACCACTGAACAGGATGTGATACACTGTTTTGCATGAAGTCCACCTCCGTAGCCTTCTCAAACTGGTCAAGATAACCCGCTACAGTTCGCAATATCAGCCCTGGGTCATTCTCCAAGTTCTAGAACATAAATTCATTCCTATTCCGCCAAATAAACAGCAATGCATTAGAAATAGCAAAAATAACTTAGGCTTTAGTTGCTGAGTGACCTCCCAAAACCATTGTTGGATATGGTTTGTAAGTCGCTGAACCCTGTGGTTCAATGGGCTGCCCTCCCAGGATTTCTTTGCCCAAGAACAGTCCTTGAAAACATGTAAAATAGACTCATTCTCCACTCCGCATACACAACACACACTATTCGAACGAATCTTCCTACGCCTTAAATTCTCATTTGTAGGGAGAGCATCCAATAGCATTCTCCAAGCAAAATTCTTAACTTTACTTGGAACTCGTTGATCCATAGTGCTTTCCAATTACCATCAGGAGTAGATGAAGAACTTGCATTATATATTCCCCATGAAAATAGATTACTCTCATAAGCCAAATGATATGCACTCCTTACAGAAAATCTACCATTTTTGTTGTAGTGCCTTATTAATTTATCTTCCAACGGATAAACTCCCAACGGAATCCGTTTAATTATCTCAGCTTCATGCTCAAAAAAAACCTCATCAATCAGTTGTGTTTTCCAACTACGTGTTTGGGGATCAATGAGGTGGTTGACCGTAGCCTCCTCCTCTCCAGTTTCTTAAGACTCACCACTTTGAAAGTAGTGGGTGTTGGAATCCACCTATCATGCCACACTTTAATTTTGGAACCGTCACCAATCCTCCATCGCGAACCAACTTCAATCACTTTTCTAGCCTCTAAAATGCTTCGCCATGTGTATGATGGCCTATACCCCAACTTGGCACTCATAAATGATGTTGACGGGAAATATTTTGCTTTCAAGACCTTGTGAAGCAGAGTATCAATATCATGAAGGATTCTCCATGCTTGTTTGGAAAGCATCGCCATATTAAAGGTTCTCAAATCCCTGAAACCTATACCGCCTTGGTTTTTGCCCTTACACATCTTAGCCCACTTTACCTAATGAATTTTCCTCTCCCTTTCCTTTTGACCCCACCAGAAATTGGAAGCTAAAGACTCCAAATCATTGCACAAATATTCTAGAAGCTTAAAGCATCCCATAGAATATATTGGAATTGACTGGACCACTACTTTAATTAATATTTCTTTGCCTCCCCTTGATAATAGCCTATCTTTTCATCCTTGTAGCTTCTGCCAAACTTGCTCCCTCAAACTAACAAATACCTCCTTCTTAGACTTACCCACCACAGAAGACAATCCTAGATATTTCTCATGCTGCTGTACACGGGAAACACCGAGGATAGATTGCATTTCTCTTGCTCTTGTCTCTGGCACATTGTTGTTGCACACCATAGCAGATTTTTTCAAGCTAATTTGTTGACCCGAAGCTAATTCATATAATTGTAGAACCTCCTTAACTACAACCGCTTCCGTAGGTATAGCCTTAAAGAATAGTAGACTATTCTCTGCAAAAAAGAGATGTGAAAATCCACGACCCACACTAATCCCTGAGATAGTATCACTTCTTTCGGCATCTTTAAGTGACATTGACATTCCCTCTGCGCAAAGAAGAAAAAGGTAAAGGGACGGGGCAGCCAAGGTAACAAACCCTTGGATATGACCAAAGTCTTCCCACCCACTGCAAAAATATCCGCTTTAAACTATAGTTACTGATTTGGAAAGGGTTGAGCCCATCACCACAGTCGTATCGAGGTGCGATCAGATCTTCAACTCCTTCTCAATAACATCTAGTTTATGTTACAATTACCTCAAACGAATTCAAATATGCAACCGTTGAAAGAAGAGCGAGAGTCTTATTTAGGGATGTCAAACGTGTCGGGTTGAGTTATTTCGTGTTGGGTTGATTTCGAATTTGTGTCGAAAATCCTAAAACCCGAACTTGACTTGTTTAATAATCGTGTCAAGAAGTGAAAATACTAACTTGACCTAACCATTAAACGGGTTATCTGAACTCAATCTATTTGATACTTTTAATAAACAGGTCATTTTCGGGTTAACACATATAACATGACATGTTTAACACACATAACACAAACTTATTTAACACGTATAACATGTTTTCACTCTTGTTCATTATCATTAAATATACAATTCAATCATTCATTCAAAAATTTAAATAATTTTTTCACAAATAATATATCACATCTTATCAATGAAATTAACTAAAATGTATTCAAGTTTCAACTCAAAAATTAAAGTAAGAATTATATTAGTATACTATCATAATAATGTTAAGAACTATATTGTCAATTATTATAATAGAAATAAAAATTAATAAGTAATAATGTTAAAATCACATCAGTTATATATAATATGCAAATTATACTATCATAATCGAGTTAAACGGATTTGTAATGAGTTAGGTTGGATTCATGTCGCAATTATATTAACCCGTTTAAAATATACATGTTAATCAGGTTAAAATAGGGTTGATCTGATTTTGACATGAACTTGACATGATTATTTTTCTATTAAGCGTGTTGACCTGTTTTAACCTATTGACTCTTTTAATTTTATATCCAACCTATTAATTTTATGTTCGGTTTACACTCACGTGTTGTATCGAAAATTGGAAGTTCTAGTCTTCTCCTAACTACCGAACTCAACTCCACTATCACCTTGGTGGTGTAAAAGAGGGAACATAAATCATAGCGGAGTGTAGCGTAATTTTAAAAATTGTGACGGTATTATTTAAAATTATAGCGTAACATTGCTCTTTAAAATTATCAGAAACCATAGCGGCGATCAGTCTTATTTTCCGTCGTGAAGAAGCTGCGTCTGATGAGTAGGGTTGTAGCAGGGTTCGGTTTGCACCTCTCCCCCTTTTCTCTCTTTTCCGTCAATTCAGAGCTTATGGTTCGTTCTTCGTTATCTCTCATCGATCTACAGTAGCTAAATAGAAATAGCAACCCGTTATTTTCTCTGTTTGAACTATAAGTAACTAGTTTGGGTGGTAGCTTTTTTTATTTTCATGGAATTTATTCCAGTGGATCAGAACAGAACAAATTTCTGCTTGAGGAAAAGGAATTTGTGTTCTTTTTGATCTATTTCCAAGATTTAGGACTAATTGTAATTCTGAGTTTATCAAATTGCTTGAAGAAGACCTGTATTCATATGTTTTTTTTTGTGGAAAAATTTACCAGAAACTATTACCATTGGATCAAATAGAGCAGTACCATTGGATCAAATAGAGAAGTAGGATACTTATATATTGGTTTATAATTTTTTGAAAATTTGGGGGTTTTCTGTGTTACAGAGAACGCTTGTGAAACTTACATGTGCGTATGTTTGAGTATAATGTGCTGAAGATGCTTATTGCGGTCTGATTCTGTAGTGAAATTAACCGGGATACGAATATCTTGTGTTTGATCATTTAGTGTACACTAGGTCAGTTATATGGTACGTAGTTTTATCATAACCAAGCTTTGAAGCTGCAACTTTGTGGTGCGATTTCTCAAACATACCTCCTTGGAAGCAGTTTGCTGATTACACTCTTAATGGGACAATTTCTTCGCTATATGGCAATGTGTTTTGTTAATGGAGGGAAGCACCAGTCCTCGCCGTCTCACCTTTATTTGGCTCCCTGCTTGTAATGCTTGCTTTGGGATTTTGTGGCTGTGAAGTAGCATGGATTTTTTTTTTTTTGAAAACAATGATTGAGAGTATGTTTAGCTGATTGCATGTTTGTTTTGATAGAATATTAGATGGAGGTACTCTAGAAAGAACTGACAGTATTTGCAGTTGAGAATCTGAAAGATGCTGGGATTGGGGAGTTTGATGTGGAGGCTTCTGAGTCTGAATCAGACTCAAAAGGAGATGAGGATGTGAAGTTGACTGAACCTTCAAAGAGAGTGGATAAACAAGCTTTCTGTTGATATTGATCGAGAACAAGAGGTGGATGTGAATGATGACTTGACACAGGAGCTTGCTTTTTATACACAGGCATTGGAGGGTACAAGACAGGCCCTCTTGAAGTTTCATTCTATGGGGCTTCCTTTCCTAAGACCTCTGTTTTCTACACTGAGATGGTGAAGTCTGATACTCTCATGGAGAAGGTTAAGGACAGGCTCTTAGCAGAAAAGAGAAGGATTGAGGAGGCTGAGGAGAGAAGAAAGGCTAGAGAAAGAAAGAAAATAGCTAAAGAAATACAGTCACAGAAGCTCAGAGAAAGGACTAAGCAGAAAAGGGAGGAGATAGAATCTGTCAAAAAATGAAGGAAGCAGAGGCAGCAGAGCAGGTTTGCTAAGGTTGATGACAGCGGTGACATTAATTTACCTTTTGAAGATGGAAAACATTTGAGCAGTCGAATAAGAAGAGACCTGGTGCTGCTCCTGGGGATCGATCCGGAGGAAGGCAAGACAAGGAGGTGGAAAGGGGAAGAAAGGATCTGATAAAAACAGAAAGCATAGGGAATTCAGGGATTCCAGGTTTGGATTTGGAGGCAGGAAAGGTTTAAAAAAGCAGAACACTGCCGAGACTACCAATGATTTTAGAGGTCTCAACAACAGATTTCTCTGGAAATAAGAAGAGGAAGAGGTGATAAACATTTGTCTGATTTAGACTCATTCAGTTGTGAATAGTATGGACAAAATTAAGGGCTGTGGGCAGTTAGAATTTCGCATAATAGATGAAATGAAAACAGATCTCTACCGCAGTGAACTCGTATTCGTCGAGAAGGTGGATCCGACAACCAGGAATGAGTTGTAAGGGCCAAAAGAAAGCCTAAGGAGTGGTGATGAATTGTTCGTGGGGCTGAACCGATGCTGGTGGCTCGCAAGGGTTCCTGGAACACAGAAAACAGGTTAGAAGTGCGCCGGAGTGTCGTCTGGCGTATCCCCTCCGACGATTAATTCAATTTCTTGAGAAAGAGGAAGATGAAAACACTGTATGGCTCTTGAAAGGTAATTTTGCGTACTTTTGTAATGTGTTTTTGAAGACTATCTATACCTTCAAAAACTCATCATTACTGGTAGTCTAAGCAGTAGGTAGTCTTCAGAGATGGAGCAATGTGCCTCCTCTTTTGCGTGGGGAATGTCCCTACATTAATTGCTCGGGCTCTCCGATCGGTTAATGCTCTTTCTCCGATATAAACACTTTAAATGCAAGGGCCCAGAACATTTAATATCCATTATCTTCGGCTTCTCAAGTCACTGTGGATGTCACATCATTTGGAGATTCATTAAATATTTACCTGGAATAGCTGCATATTAGCAGGGTTCGATCTATCCTTTTACCCTTTATCATGTACTTTATGTCATGCATCTGATCCTCTGTGATTGAGTGTCCAGTTCATTATGTTATTCTGACTTCATTGTGCAGAGTGTCATCATAGTTCATAGTCTAGCTTAGACTGTTCAGTTGTCAGCCACTAGTCTCCCCAGAAGCTGAAAATTAGTATTTGAGGGATCAGGGTGAGTACCCTCGGGATCGAGGATATTCGGCTCGCCCTTGATGTGGTGGATACCTCGGAGCCGAGGGAACACGTCTCGGAGCCAAGGAACATACCGGTCAGAACAGGGGGGTCTTGGGATTGAGGACACGTGGACTCGACAGAGGCAAGGAAAGTCTTTCAGCGCCGAAGACACGTGTCGTTGATCTAATACTCTTGTAGAAGTGTCCCATCATAGTGGTTTGTGAAATTTGTTTAAAACCAGTTTTAAATCTTTGAAGGACAAACGAGAGATACTTTGACCTAAATTAGCGTTGTTAGAGACACATTCAATCAGCATAAAGATTGTGGACCAAGTATATCCCCGCTTTCATAATTTTCAAGGTTAAAGGATTATTTTGAAAAACAATGAGCTGGGTATTTGGTTTATTCTTATGTAAAGTTGAGTGGTTAATTTTTAGCCTCATAAAGTTTTATCTACTTGGCTCCGTACTTTTTTTTTTTTTAATGGTCAGAAGTGTTTGGACCAACTTACGTGTACCTCAATTAATTTTCTCTTCGATTTGGTCAAAAACAGATCATTCATGTTGAGACTAGTGTATTCATATTTTTCATGGCCTGATTTCAGACCTTAAAAAATTGTTAAGATTCGAACTCAAGATGTTTAAATTTATAATCTATCCTTATTACCACTCACGGTTGACATATGATTTTATTGCATTAGAGGACATGAGAAATTTAGAGTTGCCATGTGATGTTCTTTGGTGGTTACAACGACTTTGATTAAAATAATGGAAGTCTACATTTAAGTTGGTGTGGAAGCTTCACTAATGCATTGATGCATGTATGATTAAACTAAAGCATAATATGTCAACTTCACATTAGCTTTCACACCACACCTCATGAGCTAGTCCTTAAATTATGCCCAAAAAGCTTCCTCTGCACACCCTTGTTCCCACCAACAAGCCTTTAAAAGGCCTAATACCTCCCATTCTGCTAAAACAACACAAACCCATCTATACCTCAGCCTCATAAGTTGCTGGTCTTGCTCAGATTTTTCTTCTCTCTCCACTTTCCACAACAATGTTTAGTTCCACATTTGAGTTGATCACTCTGGGTGCTTCCAATTCTGCCGTCGTCTTTTGTTTCTGCAATTTGATCATAGCCATTCTGCTCGTTGGTAGCTCAAAACCCGGCTCACGCCTCAATGAAGATGATGCTATTCCTCCTGCAACAGTTGCCAATGGAAACCAGAGTGACACGGGAAGAACAAATGTCAATATTTCATTTGGAAAGAAAAATGCATTGACAGACAGCAGCGAAGTGCCGTATGTCAACGTAGCAGTGGTCAACGATCATGAAGGGAGTGACGATGAAGGGAACGACGATGAAGAAGATGATGAGCTGAGGAAAAGAGTGGAGGAGTTCATTGAGAAAATCAACCGAGGATGGAGAAAAGAGAAAGGCTTGTAACACAATCTGGTCTATATAACTAACAGTAAAAAGTACTAGAAATTAATGTTGATTGAATAGATGAAGTTAAGAAAATTTTTCCCAAATCAGGGGAAAGAATGGTAATGTTTTGTTTTTGTTTAAGTTTCTTTTCATCATTGTCTCTTCTGGAACAGTACTGTATACGCGTTCATGACCGGAACATCTTAATGAATGAGATGTTGATTTGGTGATAACTATTCTTAACCTTTTTGTCATATGACGCAGCGGAACAAAGAGTACAAAGTACGCTACGGTTCTTTTATGTATCAAATCAAAAGTCACACTCTAAATTCATATAAAATATTTTAAAATATAATATTATTCAATGAACTCACAATATAAATAGAAATAATCAAAACTCTAATTGTTCTTAAAATAGTAGCAAAATTCTTAAAATTATGAAAAATACCAAAAATAAAAATATATTATTTTCTTATTTAACATAAAAGCACGTGTCGTCTGAAGTCCAACGCAATCGACAACGTTGAATTCGGAATCTTCTATGACTTATTATTAGGATTAATTGCATTAGAGGTCTCCAAAAATGAAGTTTATTTCATTTTAGTCTCCAATATTTTAATTGCATCATTTTAGTCCTTGAAGTATTGAATATGTTTCTATATGGTCTTTCAAGTAGATAGCGTCTAGATTGCTAACGATTTTTTATCATAAACTTGTCATGTGATACTTAAATATGGATAAAAAAATAATTTTGATAATTCTTGATCAAATTTCTAACTCAAATTTTGGTTAAATAGCTACTCAAATTACTCAATTTTGATAATGAGCTATCCAAATTTTGATCAAAAGCTACTCATATTACATATTTTTTGTCAAGAGCTACCCAAATTTTGTTTCAAAACTATCAAAATTATTTTTATCCACATTTAAGTATTATGTGACAAGTTTATGATAAGAAATCGTTAGTAATTTAAATGTTGTCTGCTTGAAGGACCATATAGAAACATATTTAATATTTTAGCGATCAAAATGATAGAATTGAAATATTAGGGACTAAAATGAAACAAACTTCATACTTTGAGAACCTCTAGTGCAATTAACCCTTATTATTAATTTTTGAAATCTTTCCTAAAACAGAAAAAAATAAGATTTTGAGAGTTTAAACGATAAAAGTCGGTCCACTGGTCTCACTGAATTCCGAATAGGCTTCTGCTCCGTCTTAGAACCAGACATCTTGAATGAGCCATTCTTCACCTAAAACCTTTTGTTAGTAACAAGAAATGACTTCAAACTTAAAATATAAGCTCACATTGTTCAGGAAACAACAATTTCAACATCTTTGTCCTCAATTCAATACTCTTAAGGGTTGTTTGTTACAAGGGTTTGGGCGGGTTATAGAAGGTGAGTTTAAAAATATAGTCCAATCCCTCACCTAAACCCTTGTTTGGATGCAAAAATTAAAGGTTGGACTGAAGTCCTGGGCCGGACTTGGCCTGCTTTTTAAACTCATGAAAGTGGGTTTCATTAATCCCGGGGGTGTGGGTTTCGAAGGGCTAAACAGGTTTGGAATTAAAGATTACATTTGTATCCCCTTAAACCCATTTCTTGTCTACCCTATACAGATATGAATATACTAGCACTTGTTGGTTTATTAGCACAAGCATTTGAGTTTTGTGAAAGCAAGACAGCATGATCCCATTTTTAGGGCATCATTATGCTTTGTCATTTAAAAAAAATAATTTTATTGCGCTTTATTATGGTTATGAATAATAATTATATTTTATCAACATTCATTGTTTTTTTCATAAGTTAGGAAAAAAAATTAATCATACATTTAACTCATAAGGACACAAGTAAATGTATGTAAACAAATATGGGTTTAGACTAAATTGGTTAAGGGGCAAAATAGTTATTTACATACAAATATATTATCATAATAGCCATATATCCCTGCTCATACCAAACATGAGTATGAACAACATTAAATCTTGAATCTCATCTTTGAATCTTATCTTTGGGTTTGGAAGAGATTAGACAAACCAATCCAAACTCATCCCAAAAAATATACCAAACAGGCCCTTAGACTATGTACACATCAAAGAAGCCAATAGAATTGACTTATCAATAATGGATAACAAGATCCAAAAAGCTTGCCAAAAAAAAAAGGCAAAGAACAAAAACATTGTCAAGATCACCTGCAGTTGGTAATAATCAATCTTGTATAATTGTCCTTAGATGTGTCTTAGGAAGCACAAAACCAGCTCTTCTTTCCTCAAAAGAGTACTCAATCTCTGCATCAATATCTTCAACTGGATGAGCGCTGTAAATAACTGGAGGAGCAGGGGTCATGGTGGTCTGCATTGAAACTGATACGGTTGAGGGCGTAGATGGCAGAGGAATTGACATTGTTTTGGGAGTCCTGTTTTCTTCATCTGCAGCAGAAATTATCTTGAAAGGAGTAGTACATGGTGTAATTTCATTTGTAAGTGTTTTCTGCAGCATTTCTTTTTGTTTTCTGTTCAGACCTTTCAATATATTTGTTGTGTTGGACTTTGATGAATCTGTCGAATAAATAGGCGAAAAGGGCTGGCGCAGCATGTGTGACTCTACTCCACGAGCATTAACTGCATTGGAATGGTGCTTTTTTGCAGGAAGGCCAGCAATGTCCAAACCTTTCCTTCCTAAATCAAAAAAGTGAACTGAAATAAAGGTTGTGGTGGGCAAGACATTGAAACAAATAATATATACAATTGATGTTAATTGAGCCTTATCCTTGTAAGATGCAGATACAATACAAATTATTCATCACCAAAACCCAACTTCTCTTACCTACACAAATCATTGCTATCTGTAAAAACTGATATGAACACAAATTTTCAGGAAGTAGGTAGATTGCATGTCACTAGCATTAAATCTATGCAATACACCAGTGCAGTTTGTGTCGCATTTCCATGAGCAAGTTTTCGTCAAAAGGCATTGTAATTCAGTCAAAGAGGACTCGCACAAACACATTTTTTTCTGTAGTGGACGACTGAGATTTTTCGTATTATTTCAGAGTGATGAACACTGAAAAGATGCTCCTAACCACTTTCTTATATCTAACCAAACAAGAAAGCAGCACATAAAAAGGGGTTGGAGACCTACCCCCACCCAAAAAAAAAACCCCACTAAAGATATTGAAATATAGTAAGACATTTGAAAGAAAATTACCAGCTGATAAAGGTGCAACTCCGTTATCCCTGGGGTGGTTAAATTGGTCGTTTTGGTGAAGACGAGCATTTTTCCTACTTTTGTGCGTATTGGGAATAGCCCTTGTGGAGTGAAGCAGATCAGGTTTAAGAGTTTGCAGCCTTGGTCCTCCTAAAGAAAGCATTTCGTTGCTTGCACCACCACAGGACAACCTAGGACCTCTTTTCCCACTCTGATTCTTCATAGGGCTCGGTTTAGACCCAAAAAGTGCCTCCTGTTCTGCTATTAGCTGTCCCTGAAGTTTCTTCTGGTCCTGAAATAGAGAAGGTTCATGCAAAGACAATGTATTCGACAAGAAAGCACCCATATCAAGTCCATGATGAAGTATATAAGGTACATACCCTCTGCCTTTTGTGCTCTTCCTCTTTTTCTTGCCGTAAAATAGTGTACTCTTCAAGCATGGAAAGAAGACAAATCTGTACAACAGATGAAGAGGAGACAGTTCAATATGTTTTCCTGAAAAGTACCAACAGGTGGACTAACTTAACTCTTTTGAGATAACAAGAAAGCATTCAATGCCATCACAATAGGGAACCACTTACACCATCATAAGTGAACTCAAGGCCTCTCTCCTTTTCCCATGCAGTGGTTTTGGAAGCCAATGCCTCCACCAATGCTGTCTCGACATGATGCAGAGAAGAAAGATGAAATGAGTATACAAGCTGTTAAGAGTATTAGGATAGTATATGTAAATAGTTAATAGTGTTAGAGTATTATGTGTAAATACAAGAGGGTGTGTATGTGTAATTCTTATGATTATGAGTTACCTATAAATACAAGTGATGTATGAGGGCTAGGTTAAGTTTTTAATCTCTCTCTGTTTCTCCCAAAATATTGTCTCTAATATTATTATGTTAATCGTCCAAACTTAACATGGTATTAGAGCAATACGATCCTAAATACAAATATTAGTGTGAGTTTGTGTTGTGAAAATTACCCTTGGTTGGTGGTGCTACTGTTGAAGTTCAAGCGTTGTGGTGGTGCTACACAGTGGTTGGTGCTACTCTGTGGTGGTAGTGCTACGTCTGTGGTCGAGATTTTGGCTGTGAAACGTTGTCGACTAAAGGCCCGATATCAACTGTGGTGGTCGCTATGGTGCTGTGGTGGCTTCTGCGGTGGTGTCGTGATGTGTGACGCCGTCGAAGATCAGATCTCTGGGAACCCTAATCTCAACAAAGAAGAAGAGATCCAACGGGTTGGATCAGATCAGGTCAAGCCCATCATCCTAAATTATTTTAAGTCCAACCCATGGTCTAACCCAAGACTCGGTCCAGCTCAGTATTTTGAAAAGCTCGCCTAGGCGAGCGAGGCGAGGCGAGCTTATCTCGCCTAGAGGACCCCAGGCGAAGTAAACGTGAGCGAAGCGAGAAAAAGCGAAAAAGCGAAAAAGCGAACGCTTTATTTATTTTTTTGATTACAGGTTAGTAGTTTCTTTTATTTTTTAATCACTAATGACTTTTTTTTTAGACTATTGTTGATCTATATTTTTTTTTTTCTAATAAACAATGTTTCAAACAAAACACATTCCTTTTTTTTTTCTTGTGTTGCTGAATTCATTTAAAATATTTGTGGGATGTGAGAGTCAAGCGACTGCATGACAATTATGATAAAAAAAAGGAAGCAGGAGTATTAGGAATGGGGGTAAATAATAGATTCTTCTACAAAGAAGTGTCTCTGATATGTCTTGGTTATACTTTTCCCTTTTCTTATATATATACAAATGGTACCAAAAAGTGATCTATGCTTATACCATGTTTAATTATTTTAGTACATGTGAAATGTGCCCCTGTTCTGCTTTTTTTTATTCAGTATATAATTACATATGAAATTGTTTACAATTGATTTTGCTCCTGTCATGATCATTGTGCTTCTGTTTTTTTTTTAGCTCATTCTGCTTCTATTTTTTTTTGTTGATTCTGTTGCTGCTTCGGTT